TATTGTATTACCTAACTAAAAACTTTCGATACAGAATGAAAAAAAAGATATCTACTTACAATGTTCTTTTGTATTATTCTGCTTGTATCATTTACTTACAATTGATAATAGTTACTGCTTTGAATGGAGATATTATGTACATAAACATGTTGAAGGTTTGCCAATACTAAATAGCTACTTTTGTAGCAACTTTATTGATGATTTTAGTAAATACAGGTACAAGATATATAAATATTTAATAATAATTTTTTGGACCTAAACCGCCCATCTAAATTAAATTTAAAAAATTGTATTGTAATTTAGAAAAGAAAAACTTCCGAACGGCATAAGCTACCAACTGGAAATATTTTTATAAAATTCAAAAAATTTTTAGGAACTTTGAGGCCATCTGGCGGCCAAACGAAACGATTTTAATACAGGTTCATTTTTAGTCCAAAAATATGTGATCATCCGTTCATATACGTACTGTGTAAAGTTTCGTGTAAAATTATTTAAATTTATCTTTTAAATACATTTTTTTAAATACTCATTACTTCAGTATGTTTATTTTCAATAAACAATATTTAAAGTTATGCACAATAGTATTTTGATTCATTCATCTGTACAAGTAGATCTCGCTCTCGAGAACTTATCTCATCAGCATCCATCGAGAACTAAAAGCGTTCGAAAACTTTCGACAAATGAACGGAAATATTGATTTCAGAGTAACAACTTTTAAGAATCGAATACTGCTCGATTTTTCATTCGAATACTCCCATCCGTCACTAACGAGGATATAGGTTATAAATCGTGTTATTGTTTTTAGATACAATTTTACAATAATCAAAAAGGAAAAAATAATGCATAAATGGAAGATTCTAGACGAATATTTTGTAGGCTCTGCAATAAAACTGCTAGGAGCAATGAAAATTTTACAGGAATAGAAGAATCTACAAGAGAAATTTTAAAATCTGTTTCACTGGATCTGGTAAGTTCTTCATTTAAAACTATTAATTTTTTATATTAACAGATGTCCGTTAATGCTGTTTATTCATTTTGCTCTCAACAAAACATTTTAGGATTTGGTTAACAACTATAAACATGTCATGTGTTCTACCTGTTCTGCTAAACTGTACTCTGCATTTAACTTCAAATCCACTTGCTTGTATGTTGAGCAGAAGATTGTTTCTTATGTTAAACCCAATATGTCCTTTGTTGACTTAAGGGAAGTTTATTTATACAAAAACGAGAACAAGCCGTCAGTCAAAATAGAAGATGATCAGAAGATATGTCGATTATGTTTACAGTTAACTAACGAAGAATTTGTGCCATTTTGTGATATAATGTTAGAGGTGATCCATAGATGCATCTCAGAAGTGGTAAATATACATTCTCATTTTAAATCTTAAAAACTCGTACTATGTAAACTCTTACGTTGTAGAATTTTGGCATCACTGAAGATCCTGTCGTTTGTAGGCAATGTTTTGATTCACTCAACATTCACAATACTTTTATAAGGACCTGCTTGGATGTTGAAACACAAATTCACGATATATTTGATGACAAAATCACAGATTTCAAGCGTAGTGATATATTTATTAGAAATGAATATGATGAAATAGAATTAGGAGACGAACAAACGCTGGAAGGGTCAATTAAAACTGAAAAAGAGCTAGGGACAGAAGAAACACTGATCGAAATTAAAGATATTGATATAAAATGTGAAGTAAATGATTTGGAAAGGTAAGGAAGTTGAGAAACATTTAAATACATATATGGATAGTTTATCATATAGAAGGTGCGTTCTAAAGTAACCAAGACTTTTTAAAAATAACAACAGAGTTTTTTTGTGCAAAATCGATTTATTTTATTCAAAATAGTCTTCTTCCGACTCAATAAAGTGATTTGCATGGTCTAAAAGTATGTATAATCAGCGTTTTAAATCGTTGGCCGGGATGTCGATACAAACCTTTTGAATGGCTTTCCTTTATCTGCAAATGCATTTTTCCGACAGGGTAAAAGTCACAAGGTGCCAAATCAAGTGAATATGCGGAGTGGTTGACATTTAAAATTCAATTTTTAGTCAAAAAATCGGTCACAGATTTCGATCGATGAAATGGCATATTGTCATGCAATAAATGCCAACTTCCTTCTAAACAATATTCTGGTTTCACTAGAAATACCTATTTTTGGAAGGTCCTGTTGACGCACCTAATAAGCTCTATCAGCAGAATGAAAATAATGTTTTTTATCTTGTTTTTTTTTTTGACATGTTTGTAAACAATCTTAACTTTTTCAGTGATCCTTCTTCATACGACTTACATAATGAAACAATCGAAAACAAAACAATGCACAATTATAAAGATGTAGGAGAAATAAAGAAGGAATATATGTCCGAGACAGTAGAGGTTCAAAGAAGCAAACCCGAAACCAAAGACGAGTTTGACAGTAGTGTAAACCAGGAAGCTGTTCCAGAACTTATACATTATAAGGAAAGTCCAACTTGCCGGCAGTTAATAAACAATGACAGGTTTGAAGAACCAGTATACAGATGCAAAACGTGCAATTTTGAAACTAAATTTAAGGGTGGTCTAAGTGTACATCAACTGTCACACAAAGACCCTTTGGATATTGAAATATACACTTGCGACACTTGCACCTACGAAACTAAATATAAAGCAGATCTAAAACGGCATCAGTTATCGCACAAAGACCCTTCAGAAATCGAAATGTACAAATGTGACATGTGTAAATACGAAACTAAGTACAAACAGAATATCAAAAAGCATCAATTGGTACACAAAGATTCTCCAGAAATTCAACTGTACAAGTGTGAGACTTGTATTTACGAAACCAGGTATAAATGTCGTCTAAAAGATCATCAGTTATTGCACAAAGATCCGTTTGAAATCCAAATGTACAAGTGTGAAGTGTGTGATTATGTAACTAGATATAAGAATCATCTAAAAAGGCATCAGCTATCGCACAAAAACCCTTCAGAAATTCAAATGTACAAGTGCGATATGTGTAGCTTCAAAACAAAGTATGAGAGACATCTAAAATCACATCAATTAATACACAAATATGCCTCGGAAATTCAAAAGTACAGGTGCGGTGCTTGTACTTACGAAACTAAACGTAAGCATTGTCTAAAAAATCATCAGTTAACCCACAAAGACCCTTCGGAGATTCAAATGTACAAGTGTGATATATGTAGATATGAAACTAAGTATAAGTACAACATCAAAAAGCATCAGTTAATACATAAGAAAATTTCCACAGAATAAAAGTAGGAAAGAGATACATGCAATGGCACTGGTGATAAATGCTATCAACTTTCACTACCTACATCTTATTCAGACATCAAAATATTGAAATGTACGCTAAGGAGCAAATGTACAAGTGTGATAAATGTTTTACAACAGAGCGACAATTTTTTATGGGAAAAACTTATGAAAGTTAATTGAAGGGGCCTGGAAATGTTAAGAAAGTTTAATTATCATGGATTTTTTTTTAATTCCAATTGCAATTTGTCTTTATTTATGAAGTGCCAAGTACTCAATTTTTTTAAAATCAAAGCGGCAGTATATTTATGAAAAATTTACATATTCTGAAAGGTATATCAAACATTATTTTTCAACGTAGTCATCTTTCAACTTCAATGCACTTTGTGAGCCGAGGGATGAACTGTATGATACTTTCATCAACCTGCCGTCCCTCAGGCCCATTGTTTCAGGGCACTATAGACCTCATTGTCATTAGAAAACCTTTTTCCACCCATAAACACCTTCAAGGAAGAGAAAAGATGAAAATCAGAGGGTGCCACGTCAGGGCTAGATAAATGTAACATAAAATAAGATAAACATAAAAATAAAGCTGAAAATTATCAAAAAAAAACAATGATTTTTTATTTTATAATTGATTTTATTCATGGAGATCATTGAAAATCATTTTAAGGTATAAAAGTTATTATTGTATTCCTGTGATATCT